ATCAGTTATTTATGTTCAGTGATACATTTATTCTATTGAATTACCAGCTGACAGGCAACATTATACATTTGCATTAATACAAGTAAGACAATGAAAGCATGACATACTATCTCAAAACGAATCTTTCATTATACTGTGCTAGGAACTAAAGATGAATAGCTGTATGATGTATACCTGGTTGAATGTCCTTTTGTCAATGTCATACTCTCTCCTTTTTCCAGTTTAAAATGAACACCACCTTCATCATTCCAAGAACTGCCACTTTCACTCCACCTGCTGACATGCATTATGACTTCTGCAAGTTAAAACCACTATCCACCAAGGAAGCTCTTGAAGAACAACGCCTATTAGATTCCATCGCTTGGCCTGAAACTCCATCTTTACCATCACCTCTTTCCCTGAGCAGTACCAGTCACCCAGCCCACAGTGCCTTCACCATTCTCCCAAGGTGGGGAGGAGGACAGTGGCACATAGGAGACAAACTTGAGGTTATGATTCAAATGCACGATTTCCAGGGACACTTGAAGAGGTCTGGGGGAGATGTCTTACTTGCCCGGCTGCATAACCCAACCCTTGGTGCTGGTGTGGCAGGGCAAGTGTTAGATCATCTTAATGGCTCCTACTCTGCTATATTCACTTTACTTTGGGAAGGAAACGCACAGGTTCAGGTGACGCTTACTACGTTAACTATTATTGCTTGTTTGCTTTTGAAGCTAACATCAAGTGGTCACATCACAAGATTCACTTTGTGGCACTTCACATTAGCTTCATTTTTCATCTGCAGACCATTTGCCAGTTTGTGATAAATCTTGATTTCACTTGATTGTTCTATTGGTGACAAGTGCTGTCTATAAACCAAACAGAGCAGGTTACAAAATTCTAATTATTTGTCCTACTAGGTGATACTGGTTCACCCCAGTGAGGCAGTCACAGAGCTGCGAAGGCTGAACACAGAACATCCTGACAGGATTTTCTTCAAGAGCCAGTTCCACTTAGGCTCAGTCACTGAAACTACCACTTGTAATGTATGTCTACGTCCAACCCAGCAGCCTGTGTGCAACTACACTGACCTCCATACAAATGAGCCATGGTTCTGCTACAAGCCAAAAAGTCTAAGCTGTGATACCAGGATCAGCAACTTCAATGGAGGATATAAACAAAAAATTAGCACCATGGAGAAGCTCTTTCAGAGGTAAGCATTTCCTATATTCTAAAGGTGGTAAATCTCTGGAGTTTTAAAATTAATCAATTAGAATCAAAGTAAAAGAATTTTATTACAGCTCTACTGATGTATTAGCAGGCAGCTGTCAATTATTTAGCTATCTGATATTATCATCAGTATTGGCATTTCTGATGGCTGATAGGTGAAATTTTAAACAGTGAAGAAGAGACGGGAGAAGCAACTGTCAACCATGTTATGAGTATTTATGTGGCACCAGAGAGACTGCAACTTCCCTATTGACAACATGCATTTGCAATGCAACAAACTACAGCCAGAGGATGTGAGCAGAGTTGGGCAAAGCATAAATGAGTAACTCACGATTTGTTGTGACAGTGAAAGAAGTTTACTTTTAAACTGTATTGTGATGTTCTTTTTATG